CTCTGGTGACAAAAGTTACCACTACTACCAATAATTACATCTATGGAGAACTTACTGTCTGGCCCTATGCTGGATGCTTTACATGTATTATTTAACTCTGTGAGGTCGGCAGTATGATTATTTACAGATGGGGATAATTAGGGATAAAGAGATCACAAAATTGACAAGAAAGAGGTCAGGATTCAAACCCAGGGCTTCTAACTCGCTACTAGCTCTCCATCTTCAGTTGTTAATGTTCAGAACAGCAACCTGCAACGAACAAACAAACAAATAAAATACATACATCTGTATTTATTATGTAAAGACTTGGACAGATACGATGCTCACTTTATGAGACTGTTCCCTAAACCTTCTGATGAATTCGGAGTTTATTACTTTTGTTAGAAACAAATTCTACTACCAATTTCTTTATTCTAATTTGTCAACCAGTAAATGGCTCCTTGTATGAGACATTTTTCCTTCATAAATTTGATGTCATTCCTGTGTGTTAGTTAAGACCAAAAAGTATGGATCTGTGAAAATTGGTATAGGTTAAAAAGTCCCCTTTTCAACGTATTTACACATGGTAACGACTTCGTAATGCAGTGCGGAGGATGCTAGGGGTAGGAGACAGAGAACCTGGACTCTCGTGGACTCGGCCTCTTGCCCTGAGCTCCTGAGCACATCGCTTTGCCTGGTTTTCTTCAACTGCCAGATGAGGAGCTTAGATTATCTCCAAAACGCCCTTTCTGCTCTGACATTTCAGAGTGATTTTTGTCTCTGGATATCAGCTCTTGTAACAGGAGAAGAATTAGGAAATTCACAGGTCATTTTACACTGCAAAGTGATTTGAATAGATCCATAAGGAGGGGCTGGATGAATAATATTTATGAGTACCGTGACCTTGAACTGAAACAAATGAGAAGAGATTGAAAAAAATTGGTGATTAAGTGTCTTTCTAAGGTCACTTCCAACAAGGCTACTAAGTTTTAGACATGTAGGAAAGGCTCTTTCCTGCACCCACTGTTGTTCAGCTTGTGTTTCTCCAATGAAGCTTCCATTTGAGAATTACTCACCCTTCATAGTGCATCCCCAGCCCCCTGTACCTGGCATATCATAGGTGTTCAGCGAAGGTTCGTTGAAATTAATTGTTATTTAATATAGAACTAGAAGATCAGAAAGAGATTTGTTTTTCTAATCAGTATTAAGTTTAGAAAGTCACGTGTGCGGGCTGTGGAGTTTTAGACCATGTGGGTTCATAACCCAGCTGTACTCCTTAGTAGCTGGGTGGTTTTAGGCAAGTTATTTCCATAACTGTGCCTCAGTTTCCTCTTCTTTAAGGGGATTTATAAGTGCACTTACCTCATAGGGCCATTGTGAGCATTCAGTGAGACAGTCCAAGAGTTGTATTTGGTACAATACTTAGCAGAGATTTAGGGTTCTATTAATATTAGCTAATGTCATTATTAAGGAGGTGCAGCATTTCCCCAGACATTCTAGTAGAAGTTTTTCTTTTCTTTTCATAAGGGACAACGTAGAACCCCAAAGGTAAACTGTATAGTTCTAGTGCTTGATTTTTATCATTTAACATCTTTTCTGACCCACTTCCATACTCCCGAATAATGATGCCTCTCAGATGAGAGAAGTTGCTGTATTTTTGCATGATACGTCTTTTTGTTTGAACCACATTATACTTTGGCGTGTTGTGAAGTCTGCTCATTGAGTATCTTAGAGTTTAAAGCCAAGCTGAAGGTCTGAGATAAATGGCACACGACGACGTCCTTCCCCACAGTGTCTGCCTCAAGACTCCTGCCTGCTTGAAACACACCAAAGGCTGTGAAATTAATGATGTGCCTGACACAATGCACTCCTGTCACCCAGCTGGAAAGTTAAGACACTGTTACTTATCCCTGAGAAGGACTGTTGTCCATGCAAGCATTTTGTTCATTTGTTCTTTCATGAGTAATTGCATGGAGTAACGAAAAACACCTACTCAACTTACAGCTTGGCAGAAACAGTAGCTTATGTTTTCTGGAGACAAAATTAGAAGCAGGCTCCCTGGACCCCACCTTTAAGTCAAAGTAAAATGTCTAGGGAACCACTGTGCCTCCCAGTAACCATGGGCCCTGTGGAGTAATATTGTGTAGGTCAAGATGTCCCAGAGTAAGAGGACAGGGAGAAGGGAAAGAGATGAAGAGGCAAACTGTTTTTCTTTCTTACTTTGTCCTTTCTATGTAGAAAAAAAGTTTACAGTACCCTAATCTTCCTCCTGCAATTATCAGAAGAGAAAAACTGAGTATACTTTGTTGAGAGGAGGAGTTACAGCTTAAACTGTATTTTATTTATGATATTGGAGATTACATCTCTTCTGGGGAGCTTAAGTCTTAGCAAAACTAAACCACTGAGAAAGTATCTTTATTTTTTCCATTTTCACAGAAAAATGAATACTTGTTCTTTCCTTCCCTATAAAATATGATCATTCAGTTGGCAAGCATTTAGTAAACAACAACTATGCATAAGGTCTAAAAGGAAAACAGAATAATAAGACACTGTCCTTTGCTCCAGAACTGGAAATCTAACAGCGGAGATATTTATCCAAATAATTATACCAGAGGGAAAGA